ACTGAAATTATATTAAGACTGTGATTGCTAATTAATAAAGCATTATAAAGATCTTCTTAAAAATAGTATTAAATAAATCTGCAAGGCAATCACACTTTCTGCCCCATCCACATTTCTGTAGTAAAACTTTGCCTTAAAGCTCCACCCCTGAAATCCCATCCTGCCTCAGTGAGCAGACATTCCCTTTTGGCTAAATCAATTTCCTGTGGTTTGAATATTGAATATAATGTGTCATAATATATTTCTTTAAAGACTTTATTTTTTTAGAGCAGTTTTAGGTTTACAACAAAAGTGAGAGGAAGGTGCCGAAACCGGTTTGGCTCAGTGGATAGAGCGTCAGCCTGCGGACTGAAAGGTCCCAGGTTCGATTCCGGTTAAGGGCATGTACCTGGGTTGCAGGCACATCCCCAGTAGGAGATGTGCAGGAGGCAGCTGATCGATGTCTCTCTCTCATCGATGTTTCTAACTCTCTATCTCTCTCCCTTCCTCTCTGTAAAAAATCAATAAAATATATTAAAAAAAAAAAAGTGAGAGGAAGGTACGGAGATTCTTCCTTATACCCCCTGCCCCAAAACATGCCTAGCCTCCCCATTATCAACATCACTCACCAGAAAGGTTCTTTTTCTACCAAGATGAACCACATCATAGTCACCCAAAGACCATAGTGTACCTTAGGGTTTAATCTTGGTGCTGTACATTCTGGGGGTTTGGACAAATTTATACAGTAATTATGTATGTCCATCATTATCAGGTTCAGAACATTTTCACTCCTTAAGAGTTCTCTGAACTTTTCCTATTCATCTCTCTCCCTCCTAGAGCCAAGTTGCCTAGTTTGAATCTCAGTTCTGTCACTTGCTGGCTAACTGGCTGATCTTGGGCAAATTACTTAATGTCTTTAGTGCCTTAATTTTCTTATCTGTAAAATGGGGAAAATGGTGCTTACTTCATGAGGTTATTTTGAGATTTAGAGAAGTTAATTTGTAAGTACTATATAAGTGCTGGCTTTTATTAACACCCAAAATGTGTAAGTTGCTTAAAAGACATATAACCAATTCTTGGTTATCGAGAAAAAATGACAGTACAGGTAAAACAAATTCTCATTTGTATTCTTAAATATCTTCATTTTAGTTATGTATGGTTTCACATGGGTACCGGACTTATCAGGGTGGTCACTTCATAACACATAACTGTCTAACCACTCCACTGGAACTAATATAAGATTGCATGTCAACCATAATTGAAAGAAAAACCTTTTTAAAGTTCACTTTAAGCTCAAGCAACTAGTAACTTCGTTGAATATTTGCTCTCTCTAAACTAGTCTTCTTTGTATGGAAACATGGTAAGTCACATTAACATATGCACAGTTAAGGAAAAAGAGGTTCGTTCACACCTGTTTTGTTCACCTGGCATTTAGTAGTCATTAACAAGTAAGTTAATGAACTGAATAAAACTGCCTTTTAAAAATTTGAACTGGTTAATTTAAAGAGCAAAAGAAGGGAACATGTATTATAAGTGCAATAAACCTTTGGACTAAGCAGAGGGGACTGTGGGGAGGGGCATGGGGAACATCTGTAATATGGTCAACAATAAAAAAAAGGAGTGGGAAAAGAAGACATCCTTGCATTTACCTAATATTAGTGGGAAAGTGTCGAGTTTCTCATCATTATGATGGTAACTGTAGGTTTTTTAGTTTTTTTTAATTTTTAAAATATATTTTTATTGATTTCAGAGAGGAAGGAAGGAGGAGAGAGAGAGATAGAAACATCAATGATGAGAGAGAATCATTGATTGGCTGCCTCCTGCATGCCCTACATTGGCAATGGAGCCTGCAACCCAGGCATGTGCCCTGACCTGGAATTGAACTGTGACCTCCTGGTTCCTAGGTCAACGCTCAACTACTGAGCCTCGCCAGTTGGGAAGTTGTAGGTTTTTATAGTCTTTATGAAGCTGAGCAAGCACCTCTTTATTCTAGTTTACTGAGAGTTTTTATCCTGAATGGGTGCTGGGTTTTGTCAAATGCTTTTTTTTTTTCCATTTGTTGATATGATTATATGAAATTTTCTTTTTTAATTGGTTAATGTGGTGGATTTCATTAAACTTTTGAAAAGTCTTCTGATAGTCACATTTTCATTGCAACCTAGAATACGAACCCATTTAAGTGGGGTGTGTGTGTCAGTTTTTGCTGTTGGCTATACAGTTTCATAATTTAAGCTATTCATTATAACTTAAACTGTTGAGTTTTTAAAAGTCATAGATCCCTTCTTGAATTATGTGGTAAAGATAAAAACATTGCTCTGTATGGAAAGGAGAAGAAATAATAGCTCAAAAAAAGTTTAGAGGTTTCTTTTCTCAATTATTATACTAATAAAGTGTTGATCATTAATGTGAACTTTAAAATTTTTTTGTAGGCTTTACGAGCAAAGTATGGAATTAGAGATGACATGGTCTTGCCATTTGAGCCAGTGAGTACATAGATTATTCTGTATATTCATATCCATATCTTTATCAGAGAAAAAAAAAGCTAACTTTTTTTGGTAACAAAATTAATTATTGGAGGTTTACTTGAGAGTTTATTTTAACTTGATGTCTGCTGTGGCAGGTAAGAGTGAAAGAAAAACTAAGTATTAGCACCTGAAATTCAGGAACAAAATGGCTTTTTAACATCACCAATTTTATAGTAGCTTCTTTTGCTAGTTTGGCCAATTTCTAGGCTTCTGAGGACAACATTTTGCCATATTACTCATAAATGTTTATGTTTTCACATTAGTGCTTGCAGAAGAAAAAACGTTTAAGGGACTAGCAAGTAACTTTCATGACAAATCCAGAAGACTTATTAGAAAACAAAACAAGACCCTCCAAAAATTTAGTTGTTTTCACAATTTTGCTAATTTCAATGTTAATTATTTCCTAGTAGTTAATTGGATGGCAGTGGAGGGATGAGAGCTGGGGAAGATGTACATGTAAGGTAGGGACAGTGGGGTTGCTGCACAGAATTTGTGGAGAGGAGGACAAATTCACATCTAGATCTTTGTTAGTCACTGTGTGATTACTGACAGTGGAGGCAAAAGGACTGTGCCCCATGGGGCTGTTTTGTGTTCATTCAGGATGAGTAGGTTCCTGACATTCTTGTTTTTGCAGGTGCCAGTCATTGAAATCCCAGGTTTTGGAAATCTTTCTGCTGTAACCATTTGTGATGAGTTGAAAGTTCAGAGCCAAAATGACCGAGAAAAACTTGCAGAAGCAAAGGAGAAATTATATCTAAAAGGGTTTTATGATGGTGTAAGTAATAATTTTTTATTGTTTTATTTGATTTACTGCATGCTCTGTGATTTCTTAATCATTTAAAAAATATGTAGAAAAATTCAATGTAGTTTCAGCCATACACTGACCTATGACAGGTTAATATGAGATTGATAAAGAGATTCTTCTATTTTAACCCTTTTTAAATCTTCTTTTGTGGGGGAATAATAGTATTTACAGAAATTACATTTTTGTATCCTGTATGAATCTCTTAAGGAATTAATTTCTTGAGAAGCTATTTAAAGTTTGTTCATATTATTATGCACTGAACTCCAAAGGTTTATTGCATGGATAATACATGTTCCCTTCTTTGGCTCTTTAAATTAAGAAATTTATATTAAAAACAAACAAACAATTTTATTCAGTTCATTAACTTACTTGTTAATGACTGCTAAATGCCAGGTGAGCACAGCAGAATGAATGAATGAACCTTTTTTCCTTAACTGTGCATATGTTAATGTGACTTACTGCAATTCCATGGAAAGAAAACTAGGTTAGAGAAAGTGAATATTCAGCTAAGTTGTTAGTTGCTTGAGCTTAAAATGAAGATTTTAAAAGGTTTTTCTTTCAATTACGGTTGACATGCAATATTATATTAGTTCAGGTGTACAATATAGTGGTTAGACAGTTATATGTTATGAAGTGACCACCCTGATAAGTCTGGTACCCATGTGACACCATACATAGCTAAAATGAAGATATTTAAGGACATAAATGAGAATTTGTTTTACCTTTAATGTCATTTTTCTAGATAACCAAGAATTGGTTATATGTCTTTAACACTAGAAAGACTGAAATTTAGTATATACCTATATTGCCCAAAAGCCGTCAAAATGACTGCATTGTGAAAGAATAACTAATGTGTAAAGAAATTTGTTTAAAATTAATTTTTAATATTTTTTATATTGTTTACAGTTATATAACAAGTTATTCGACATTTCTTTCATGAATTTAGGGCGCAAAAGAAATAAAATAAACAACTTATTAGAACAAGTATCACTGCATAAAGATTCGAATAACAAGTACTAGTTTACCTTATTGAGCAACTGCAACTTATCAAGTATCGACAATTTATCATGTACTTGTATGTTATCATGTGACGGTAATCGAAAAAAAATGAAAACTGTTATTTCAATACAGCCGAACTGGTCATATCAGAAATTTACTCACTTCAATAATAAGAGTCATTTGATTATTTTGTCGTGAGTGACATGCTAGTGAAAAAGTTATCGGTCGTGACATTTCTTCCACAGCCTGTATATGGCTCGACAAGTTTCAGAACAACGTGTTCACTGAGAAGCATTGACGATGGTTGTTGTTCATCTTTCCCCAAATAAGGAAAACCTTCAAAACATTATTTGCTACTAACATCTGATGCAAGCCAGAATTTGATGCAAACTTTGTTGGGTTTATTAGGCATATACTGTGTAAACCAGCACCTGGCTTTTGACGGAAATAATTGCTTGTCAACTGTTATATTTTGCCCTGGTTGATAGCAAGCTTGACTGTTTTCAATGAACTTGTCCCATATTTCCGAAATCAAGGCAAACTTATTTGTTTGTAGGTGCCTACTTCTTTCGGTTCTTTTGTCAAAACGAATAAATCGTAGGATTTGCTTGAACTTTTCTCTGGCCATAGTTTTTCTAAAAAATTCGGGACCCTACTTTGCTGACCATAAATAACTGAGTTTTAAATTTTTTGCCTCGTAGGCTCCACGAGCATATAAAATCCCAATAAATGCATGTATTTCCGGTAATGTTGTTGTCCAATCGTTCCTCAAAATTCGGCGGCCTTCTTCTTCTATGCACTTTTTTAAAAATTTCCCCCCCAAGCAGTCAAAATGACTGCTTTCGGGCAATATAGATATAACACATATATATATACCGGAAATGAAGGAGGGGGAGGTAACTACAATTATTAATAAACGCATTTATATGTTGTATAAAAAGTCACAAAATTCTAAGAAATTCTGTCATTATATACATCATTGTTTTTCTAATTGAAATTAAAAAGCAGTCAAAATGAATTCCTTGGGCAATCTAGTGTTAAAGCAACTTACACATTTTGGGTGTTAATAAAAGCCAGCACTTATATAGTACTTACAAATTAACTTCTCTAAATCTCAAAATAACCTCATGAAGTAAGCACCATTTTCCCCATTTTACAGAGAAGAAAATTGAGGCACTAAGACATTAAGTAATTTGCCCAAGATCAGCCAGTTAGCCAGCAAGTGACAGAACTGAGATTCAAACTAGGCAACTTGGCTCTAGAACTGTGCTCTTAACCACTGCATCGTAATGATGAAGAAGTATCATTTCATAATGAAGAATTAAATAGATATGAAGCATTTTGGTAATGTTAGAGGATTGGAAGGTCAAAAAAGAACCTGTGTCTTTCACTCAGAAACTGTTCGAGAGAGACACAAGGAGCCAGGTAGAGGGAAGTCAGTTTCAGCTGGAAAGGGGATGGTGGCTTAGAGCTGTGACAGCAATGGCAAGCTAATACTTCACCCTAGAATTAAATTTCCCCACTAAGTAAAAGACAGAGCTGAAAGATAGTGGGTCTTCCTCGTAGCTCAGTTTATCACGTGGCTAGACAAAGGAGAAAGCTGGTTGGCAACAGGCGGATTTGGAAAAGAGAAGCTTAAGTGGTGCTGAGCTGAATATGCTCAGTTCCTCCTCCAAAGCCTTGAGGAATGAGGTGAGCTGGTGTGGAGTTCTCTCCACACAGACACCTGAGAAGTGGAAAGGACGTGAGGGTTTCTTCCTAACCAGGCTCATGACAGCTATCCTAATTATACTAAAAGAAAACAAATGCGTTATACATATTAGTTGTCCAAACTATGCCAAAGTAAAAAGTTATGGCTGTAAATGTGATAAATTTCACCCTAAAAATATTTTGGGTTGGTGGGTGGAAGTAAATTTAGTTAGGAAAAAGTTTGGTTGGGGGGGAAGGAACTCAGAGCAAATTTTAATTATTTTCTATGTGTTTCTTTCTTCACTCTCATCCTTTTAGGTAATGTTGGTGGATGGATTTAAAGGACAGAAGGTCCAAGATGTAAAGAAGTCTATTCAGAAAAAGATGACTGACACTGTATGTGAAAGGCTATCCCCTCAAGGCTGTTTTAGGAGAAATATTTTAGTTAAAAGGCAGACTTTACAGTGTGAATTAGCAGGGAGTCTGAAGTAGAGCCTTGAGCTTTATTAAAAAATAGCGTATTGTTTTGTGGCAGAATATAGGAGACCTATTTAGCAGTTCATTTAAGTTGAACTTCCCACCTGTACCGTTGATGAACAGTGTTCTAAAGTTGGTACGTGCAAAGTCCATGCAGGGAACTTCAATATGCTCCTGGTGGTGGCCATTCGAGATGCCAGCAGTTACAGTTCTCTTTCTGTGGTGCTTTACTTATCACTTTCATCCTGCCCCGCATCTTCATTTTTGTTGTAACTTTCTTCTATTGAGCTACTTAACTACTGGTTAAATTAAAATTTTATTTTTGACAGTTATATGTACTCATGATACAGAGAGAGAGTTGTCTGTAAGGCTTATTAAAATAAAAAAGTCAATCTTCTCTTTATCCTTCCACATTCTCTTAAATTACTCTTTGTTGGAGGGGCTCACTTTCAACTGTTTTAGTTTTTTTTTAGTATTGACCTTCATCTCTTGTAGATCTAAAACTAAATGTAGTATAATTTTCTGATTTTATTTTTTAGTTTTAGGCATCAGCCATTGCCTTTATACTATTTTTTTTTTGATCTTTATAAGACAGACTTGTTTGTACTTTATTTCAGTGATGACTAGTAAAATTTTTATGTGTCTCAGGTCTTGGATGATTTCATAAAGGCCTCTGTAGCATTGCCTGAGTGCTATCTGAACAAGTTTCGTTTGGTTTATATGTGATTGGCAATACCATGGATTT